CCACTTTCGGCCATACCAGGGCATTTGGGGCAATATAATGTGTGTCAGTTCCTTAATAAACTAAGAATTAACTATTTTAACCCACTGAATTATTACTTTTTAACCAACAGATTTAATCATGTGTAATCACTAATTTCTAAAAACAAACGGAAATTATTTACTACAGGATACGTGCCTGTGTGTGAGTATAGGTGCGTATTTGTACAGGTAAACACATAGGAGAGAGTTAATACATTTAGAAATGAAGGATATGTAATTAGACATTGTGTAAAACTTCAAAACTCCTTATACAAAAAAAACAGCCTAGTGATATGAATGCTGATAGTAACAGGCGTCAAAAATAGTTTATAGCGTCAGACAAGTTGATTAAATTTAGTTAATTAATGAAACATAACATAATGAAAGGTGGTGGAAATATGTGGATTGTTAAAATGTATACATATATGTTTGTATGTATGATTTACTGTTCACTTATTATTGGATTAGTTACTTAGGTCTGTTACCACCAATGGAGCATAAATCACCGATCAGCATTCTCCAACACACTCTGTAATAGGTTTTCCTTTCCAGTTCTATTCAATTATTGTTTATTCTTCTGATATCTATCTCCATTTCTCGGAGTAATGTGTCCTTTGATCTACCTCTTCAGGATTCCAAGTGGAGGCTTGCCTTGTGACACAGTTGGGTGCTTTCCTCAATGTTTGTCCTAATAACTTCCAGCGCTTCTTCTTGATTTCTTCCTCTGCTACAATCTGATTTGTTCTCTCCCACAATAGGTTGTTGCTGATAGTGTCTGGCCAACGGATCCGAAGTATTTTGCGTAGACAATTGTTAATAAACACTTGTATCTTTTGGATGATAGCTTTGGTAGTTTTCTAACTTTCCGCAACATACAGTAGAACTGTCTTGACATTTGTATTGAAGATGCTGAATTTGATGTTGGTTGAATTGTTTTGAATTCCAAATGTTCTTCAGTTGTAAGTATGCTTCTCTTACCTTGTCGATTCGCGCCTTCACATCTAAATCAGGTTCATTGTGTTCATCAATGATGTTGCCTAGATATGTAAAGATGATGGCTTCCGTAGTTCTCCACGTTTCCACCCCATACAGTAGAACTGTCTAGACTTATGGATTACTGACTGAGTAACTGTAAGATTATAGTGTACAGCACTATATGGGAAAGTGTTTAATCGATTAATCAAGCTGTGGACTATGATTAAGATTCGTGCTACATGCCAAGTAGCTGACTAACAGGATGTAGTAAGCAGTTTTTTCTATTCTTCTAATTTCTGACTAATCTGATGCATGATTTATGAACACTTGAACCAGTATATACTTCCATTACATTCAACATTGTTTACAATTAATAATTAAGTTAATATATTGGTGACGATTTCCAAAATGAAATTTTGTCGAATTCAAGCGCGGAAACGACGTCTGAAGTAGAGACAGTTCGATACAGCTATACAATACTGCGAAATCAGAATAGCCTGGAAGCTTTGTATCTGAAAGTGGAACCAAATCAGTCGATAGCACACCAAATAAGAAATCATCCTTTACACACAAATTATTACCATATGTGTTATGGAACGGAATAAACAGTACATAATTTTTATAGTTTGAGACGCAAACTGAGTTTACCCAGAACACCATTTGAAACATGGGAGCATTGAACAATTACCCCCCTTTAGCAATGGATGAGAATTGCACAATATCATGAGTTGATTAAAGTTAGACATTACCGTTGGATCGAAGCTCATTGCTCTAGGGAGTTAAACGTCTGCATGCGAGACCGATGGCCATGAGTACATTTTGCGGACCCCAGGATCGTGGAAATGGACATCCCAGGAGTCCCATAATAGGATGAAACAGCTGTTCAATGATGGTTTAGATAAGATTACTTCGTGTTTTAAACTACAGAAAATTCTGTAATAGTCAATTATTGTAAAAGTAAAGATTGCATGATAAATATTCCATATCACAAATTGAATTTATAAATACCCACATGAAATTTGAAATGAAACTTAGGTTATTAAATTTGTGTATGGGCTGGGAGCCCAAAATGCCCTGGTACGATCGAGAGTCGGCCCTCCCACTCCAAACGCTCTCACATGGCCACATGCATACAACCACTGACACACAAGTCCTACTCACTGCCTTCTCGCGGCATAAATGTTGATTACGAAATAGAGAGGAAAAAAGGTGAATGTCCGGAGGTTTAACCGGGTTGGTGGATATGGAGGATCCATCTTGGAGAGTTAGAAAACCCTCATTCCAAACCAAAGGTGCACATAGGCTACAGTATCCTGATGGGACAAATGGTGTATGAACCTATTGTTGGTGACCGACTACCATGGGACTGCACCTCCTGACGTCACTCCACTGCCTTGTGTATCAGAACTTTAGGTCGAAGGCTCCGGGTGGGGCCCTCTAAGAAAACCACTTGCTTCGGTCTGGGCAGTCATGCAGCATCAGAGACATCACAAAAACCAAAGTTATTTGATACTTGCCTAATCGTTATTGTGTGGCGCATATTCATTTGGTGCCTTCTCGTACTAATATTTGTGTTCAAATAAAACAAACAAATGGGCTGGGATACTGTCCGGAGGCCCAGACCGAAGCAGGTGGTCTTTTTAGGTCAATCTTCGAGCCTTTGAACTGGAGGTCTAATCCACCGGTGACCAACATTGGGTTCATACGTCATTTATTCCCTCAGGATGCTGAAGCCTATGTGCACCATTGGTTTGAAATCAGACATTTTCAACTTCTCCACGTGGACCCGCCGTAACCTAGGCGCAGTTCAACTCCGGACATTCGCCATCCACTCTCTAAACTTCGTGAACACTACCACCATGAGGTAGTGTGTAGGACGTTCCTAACAGTGGTTATGTGAGAGAGTTTCGAAAAGGGGAACGAACTCTCGCTACTGTCGGCTATTTGTAGACTATTAAATGGCTGAATTCTTGTATTTCTATATCATTTTTATTTTAAACTTCTAATAAAATTATTTTGTTTCCATTTATTTAGTGGATGGATAGTGTGTGATTTACATCAGAGATTTACCATTCTAGAAATAAGGTTCGGCTATACTGTGTATGTACTTACCAAACAGTCGCGAATGCTTACTTACACCTGTTACTCCTCGTGGAGGAGCATAGGCCGCCCACTAGTACTCTCCATCTAACACTGTCCTGAACAATCCTTGCTAGCTGTCATTCATCCTTATCAATACCTGATTCTATTTCCCGACCTAATGTGTTCTTTGGCCTTCCTCTTTTTCACTTCCCTTCAAAATTTCAAGTTAGGGATTGCCTCGTGATGCAGTTTCATGATTTCCGTAATCTATGTCCCATCCATTTCCATAGTCTTTCCCTAATTTCCTCTTCACCTGGAAGCTGGTTTGTTCTCTCCCACAGAAGACTGTTGCTGATGGTATCCGAACAATCGATGTTGAGTATCTTGAATAGACAACCATTTATAAATACTTGTACCTTCTTGATAATGCTTGTTGTAGTTCTCCAAGTTTCAGCTCCGTACAGTAGAATTGCCTTGACGTTCGTATTGAAGATTCTCACTTGGATATTGATTGAGAGACAGTTGTTTTGAGTTCCATATGTTCTTCAATTGTAGGAATGCAGCCCTTGCTTTACCAATCCTCGCCTTTACGTCTGTATCTGATCCTCCTTGTTCATCGATGATGCTTCCCATGTATGTGAAGGATTCTACATCTTCTAGAGTTTCGCTATCAAATGTGATTGGGTTGATGTTTTCTGTGTTATATTTGAGAACCATAGAATCGCAAACACTCCAATACCCAATTCAATCATCAATAATTATTGTATATACTACACAAGAACTGACAAAAATGTATCTTTCCTCTTGTGTAAGATCATCACAATTGATATTCTCTTTAATGTATCATGTTTAAATGATAGAAATCAGAGTATACACACATAACCAAATGAACATCTATATATATATATTTCTTACAACTTTCAATAATACAATATAAATAATGTTGTACCATTTGTAAAATAGACAAATATAGATACATTGAGAAACAAAACAAAGAAGAACTAGAATCATAATTGAAGAAAAGTTTGTGTATATAAATAGTGAAAAATACTAAATATACAGATCTATTCAGTAAGACTATAATTTATGAATATACCATTGAATGATGTTACATTGATCTTGATAGTATCCACTTAATAATCAGGATCAAAATGAACCTTATAAACCAATATGAAGAATTCGAATGATGATTTACAATGGATTGTTAACATTAGAAATTAGATCTCTTTTTTTTTCAAGAGGGGTTGGGGGTAGGGGAGGCGGTTTCATCATGAACTATCATGTCAAAACTTTATTTAACCAAATTGGATGTGTGAGTGACGTTTGTGTCAAAAAATCTAAAATCTGTTATCTTTTTTTTTTTTTGAAACCCTGATTAGTTCATCCATAAATGATAGTTTCACCGGTTGAGAGAAGAAAACAACAAACAAAAAGATGACTAAAATGGTGGAATAGTTAAGAATTGAAGAGGTAACCACTTTATTCTTCTGCTTTTGAATCAATCCATGAAAGACAATTGGTTGTTGTTGTTGTTGTTGATGTTAAAAATTACTATTACTAATATGATTACCCTCTAGTTATAAAAACACAACAATCATAGTAATAGTCGAGTATTAAGCAAAGAATAAAGTAAACAGAAAAAACAAACAATAACAACAATAGACAGTGCATTCTTTTCTTTTCTTTTTTTCTTTGTAAAAAAAAAAATAAATAAACATTTTTCACTATAAAAAAAAGAGAAATACAATTTTCTATTTGTTTTTTTGTTGTTGTTGTTGTTCTCGTTTTCTGAGAGAGAGAGGGGGGGTGCATAATTTGGTAGAAAGCAGGGGGAGGGAATAAATTGGAGAAATATCCAAGAGAGAAACAAAGAGATAGGGAGGGGAGAGAGAAAGAGGAAAGGCAAGGGAAAAGAAGAGATAAATTTAAATGCGTACAGCTAATAAATTCTTATGATACAATAATACATATGCATCTGTATGTAAAACATCATTTAAATTAACTGATACAACTTTTTGATCATCACATAAACACCAAGCACCAGGACCAACACGTATATAAGCTGTATAATGACCAGAATTAGTTTGACCACTATGATTTAATACAGCATATAGAGAATATCTAAAATTGAAAAAAATAAAATAGAATTATAAAATATTTATTTGAATGTTTTAATATAAATGTCCTGGTACAGTCGATGGTGGAGAGAGTTCGCTCTCTCTTTAGAAATGATCTCACATAGCCAAGAGTATAGTCACCAACTTTTCAAAGTGGGGGTGAAGTTTACGAAATTGGGAAGAAAAGCGAATGTTTGTGGCTTTCATAGGAAGGGTGGATAAGAAAGATCTACCAAAGGGAATTGGATAACCCTGATTTCAAACCAATGGTGCACATGGACTCCAGGATCTTAAGGAAACAAATGGCGTATGAACCAGTCGTTGGTCACCGGCTACCATGAGACTGCATCTCCTGACTTTGCTCCACTGTCTTGTTGATTAGACCTTTAGATCGAACGCTCAGGATGTGGTCCTCTAAGAAAACCACCTGCTTCGGTTCGGGCACTCGGGTAGCATCAGAGTCCTCACACAAATCGAATGATTTATGTGGCGCATATCTATTTGGTGCCTTCTTGTACCTATATCTGTGTTTAAATAAATTTTAAATTATAAATAATTCATAATTAATTGATCACTAAGTAGTAACCAATGTCATATATGTCACGTCCTTTGTTATGAGTATATCTCAGTCCAACAATAGGTCAGTCGAGGCTCCAAAATCCCAGCCGATAATATTTCTGATTGTGACGCTGAAAGACACAGAACAAAATCTGTTAGAGAAAATCCGTTCTCTTTAGATCACAAATATACCTTGATGATCAGTGTTAAATAGCATGAAATTTGACTTCACGGTACTATGTTGACTACTTCCACACATCATCTTACAGACTGTAATTTATGGACGTTAGTATTCTAGCCCACACACAAATCGAGTGACGAAGTGTGGAAAATATACATTTGGTGCCTCCTTGTATCAATGTTTTATGTGTCTAGATAAATTAATAAGTTGGTTATAGTAATCACAGGGAAACATGTATGAGTATCAGAAGGGTTTTTGTGGATATCATAGTAATTTCAATGGTTGAGATCATGAGTCAATTGAACCTAGACCACCGTGGAAAATGTGGAAGCGAAACGGGATCGTAGATGCGCACTGCCACTGACGAGTCCCATGGTGGGGCGAGACGACCGTCCAATGCTTCCAGGTTTTCCATAATGGTCTAGCTTCAATTGACTCATGATCTGAACCATTGAAATGACTATAATATCCACAAAAAACGTTCTGATATGAATCAACATATGTTCACTGGTGACTGGCTTCAAGAGGTATTTCCTGGAGTTCTAGTGAGAAACAGTGACCAGTGAAGTTCAACCGGGTCCGTTGTGAGATAGTAACTCACTGAATATAATTGTAGACATTGACACCGTTGGATGCCGGCCGGCTCAGTGGTCTAGGAGTTAAGCGCCCGCACGTGAGACTGATAGGTCCTGAGTATCTAAAAATTATTTCGCATTAACATTTCAGACTAGGAAGTCAGTATATGGAGAAAGAAGAGTATAGCCTGAAACACGTGAGATAATATATTCATTTACTAATACTAAGATTTAGATATAATGGTAATTTAATTGAAGTCATTAACTCTTGGTGTATGTTTTTTGGTTAGGCTCGATGAAACAGTTGTCATTTGTCAAGACAGACTTTAAACGACATCAGTCTTAATGATGTAAATTCATTTACGTAGTCTGTTCAATAGATAAACGATGTAAACTTTTTCAGTTTGTTAATTGTAAGCAAACGATCAACCGGAACGTACTCAAACCTTACACTAGTTTAATTTAATTTAACCTTAGTGGACTGTCTCTATGCAGATACTAATCTATGAAAGTTGAAATCGATCTATAAGTACATAGTCTCTTCATGTGTTTAGATGTTTGGAAATAGTTGTCCTCAAGTTTCTGACTCATAGTCAATTATAATCAATGTAAAGTCTCGTATAAATTTGCGTGATCAAAGTTTCCATACAAAATTAAAACGACAAGATGGAACTAACAGAACGAAAAGCGAATGATCTGAAATCATTGTAGTAGCAAATGATACTGATAAAGACGAAACATTGAAAATCTGGTTCGCGAAGATAGGAAAGAATATTGGGACTGAAGGTAAACAGAGAATGTATATAGGCCACTGTGACCAATTTCGAGGCATATCATTAAAAGTATTCAATCACTGATCAACGTTATCGAGTGATAGTATTTATCTAACATATCTTACCTTCAAATTATAACTATCTCAACGAACATTTCATGACGAGGCAGGTCGTAGGTGTTGGGCATACTTAATACATATCCGAACCACCTGAGAAATTTGTCTAATATAACTATACTACTAACAAATAACTAAATCATTCCCTTTTAGATCACTAAAATTCATAATAACAAACTTACTTATCATACCAAGCTGATTGGTCGCCGACAATTTGATGTAAATACGGAGCCATATCCAATTCAACAGGGAATGTGATCGATGTATTGATTTTCGTATCATGATGACAACGCTTGTTGATATGATGAAATAACAGTTGAAAAGAGCGGAAAATCAAGAACATTCATGGTATGAAGTTAAGAAAACAATCCAAATAATTAACAACAAGTTAGAATAGTTAGGGGTAGTCAAACCAAGATGTGGCATGAATCTTCGACGTCACTGACTTTTGGTCTGAGCCATGTTGGTAGATGCAGACTACTTGGTTGGAGTCCGCGTGACTATCGTAACCAATGGTTGGAGACTCAGAGTGACATGGCTCAGAATCGACCACAACGGTGTAGGTGTATAAACTCTTTGTCTTCTCTTAAACTGTGAGATTAAAATCACTTTATACCCTTCTTTCTACGAATTAACTCTTTCTTTCTATATTATATTCTTATATGCAATCTTTCTTTTATATATTACTAGCATTGAAGTAACTACTTCTATGAACTTGGTGTTCACCTTGTTGTGTTAATGAGGTATGGCAACTTGGATTGATGCATGTATGTGACCGGTCCTGCGTTATAGATGACTAACTAACTGAGAATGGTTAAAGTACTATTTGATGATTGAGATTATAACCGCAAACGTTTAATGAATGACGTTGATACTTTGATTTTCAAGGGTCACAAGAGACTGTGTTTCTACGTGGCATCAAGCTTAATGTGTCATATCTGCAGCCTGACTATTTATTACTCTGTGTTTTCCGCTTCTTCCATATCATTACAAAATACCTGGTGATCTATTCTGGTGTAATGTTGATTAAAGATTAAGTTTCCAGCTTGAAATTATTATGTTTTTAATGTGTTATGTCTGGTTGTGCTAAAATGCACATACATAACTAAAAACAAATGCGGATAAGTCCAGTTCACTCGACTTACAACTAATAAGAATACGGGTTTGAATCCCATATCATTTACGTCCGTTTGAATATTTATATAATAGCATCACTACTCTTCATACAATCAATATTATGCTCAGTAAAGCTGAATTCATAAAACCGTGGTTTTGAGTTAGCAACGTCGCCTTGATAGCAGTCAGGACGAAATCCTGAATATCAGTATCATGCTCGTCAACACGGTGCACATGAAATCTCGAGGGAACTAATGTTCTCTAGTAGATCCAAATCTGGGTCACTCAATTTCATATTGTTGAACGTAACCATTGAACGGACCGAATAGCTCAGTAGTAACATACTGAACTGTGGGACTGAATGGTTTAGATTTCAATCCAGTAGAACATTATTTCCTTCAAGATTTCAGGTACGCCATGTTAGAGAGTTCCAACTAGCATGATATTTATATCCTAAGTTTCCTCCTGACAATGTTTAACCACCTAACATCGAGACATAGTGAACATGATGTCCAGTTACTTAGAATGATGGACATGTTGTAACTTGATAGATCAAATTCAATTAACACTAAGGACAAGATAAATATGATGTTGATCATTACTTATGGATCAATCAGTGTATCTTGGAAGTAATCATTAATTCATGGAAGAAATATTACTGTTATATCTTGAATGTTGATTTCTTGATATACCGCGTATAACAGAACACTAGAACACCAAAACCCTTCCAATTCGCAATAAGAAGACAGAAGATTAATGAGAGGAGTATTATTCCAAACAGTGTCAATCATAGAACAAAATTGTCAGGTATTTATAGTTTTTAGTAAGAACGAAATCATCATTACAGTCCTCCAATCCGCATACAGGGGGCTATTAGCATTATCCAATCGGGAAGCTGCGCGTAGGAATTCTAGAATATTCCTCCGAAATGTGATTGGATGGAACATCTTCGACTCCTTCTGAGCCTCTTACAACTTCCACGAGTTCACCGGTGGTCCGTCGTCACAATTACGTTTCAAATAATATTAACCTCTATAAATCTTAAAGGGTTGGTATTCAATTATTGTTATCACTTTCAAGTGCAGCTGTGGTTCAAAGATTAAAGGACTAGACTTTCAGTTATCAGGCCACGAATTCGAAATCCGCCCCACTTGCTTTAGTTTGAGAAATCAGGTAACACCACTGACTCTCATGTATTAAGAGCGCAGCTCAAAGCCAAGTAGATGAATATATGCCTAGTGAGCTGTAAGTTGGATTTTATTAAACTCTGTCGATATATAGACTCTTTGAGCGAGTCTCAATAGTTCATGTGGCTACCAAGTAATTATATACTGTGTAATGGCTAGTAATAGAGTACAGAGTGTACGTTTTGTCTCATATAAGACTAGTATTGTTAATATTTACAGTAAGACTTGCCCCCAAATGCTCTGGTACATCTGAGAGTGGGAAGAGTCCATTCTCCCTCTCGAAATGCTCTCACATGGCCACGCGTATATAGCCTCTGCCAGGGAAGTTCTACTCACTGCCTTTTCGTGACGAGGGTTTTCTTTACGAAATAGAGAGGACGAAAAGCGAATATCCGGTGCTTTAACCGGGTTGACTAACACCGACAGTCCACCTAGGGGAGTCGGATAACCCTCATTACAAACAATTGGTGCATATGGGCTTCAGGATACTGAGGGAACAAATGGTGTATGAATCTATTGTTAGTCACCGGCTATCATGGAACTGCATCTCCCGAGGTTGCTCCATTGTCTTATGGATTAGACCTTTAGGTTAAAGGCTCGGGCTGTGACCCACTAACAAAACCACCTTTTTCGGTTTGAATACCTGGTCAGTATCCCAGCCCTCACACATATCAAATGAAATTTGTGTGGCGCATATGTATTTGGTGCCTCCTTGTACTAATATCTATGTGTTAAAATAAATAAATAAATAAACAGTAAGGCTTGAACCCGGTATATTTACTGCTTCAAAAACCAATGTGTTTAGTAAACTATTCAGTCACAACAGAAATCATATTTACAGACTAATCTATTGGGTACATACCTTGAGATAAAAGCATAAAACATTAGGTAAATGAAGTAAACTGAATTGTTTAACAGCCGGTCGACCAATATTACATTGTGAACACCATATTAAACCATCAATTAATTCTGGTCGAAAATAGGATCCAAGACATGCTTGCAATGAAGTAGAACCACGTTGAATTACATCTAATGAAAGATCTAAGAATGGATCTACTGTTGATGATCTATGCTCACAACCTTCATATGATATGACAGATTCCAAATCACCAAAAAACACCTACATATATATGTATATATATGTATACAACAGAGTAACAACACACGTGGGAAGAATCAATTTTACATTCAACTCAAAACAAAACATAATAGAAGAAAGTTTTGAGGATATCCTATGAAAATTTAATTCTTGCTTAGGTTTAAAATTTATTTTCCAAGAGCTAATAACTGAACAATAATATTGTCTATTGTAGATGACAATAAGAATTCTCTTGTGAAAGACCTGTCTTTTATCGATACTTAAGTGCACATGTATTCAATCAAAAACGGTTGAAGTGTAGCTGCATACATTGTCAATTCGTATAATTGGAGAAGTGAAGGTTGCACTATGCCACAAATAGATCTAAGCTGGATATAAACAGAATTTGTAACAATGCCGTGGTAGTTAGTGTCGCCTGTCAAGTTAGATTGACTGGACTACTCAGTCCATTACGTCTTCTACCAAGTCAGGTGAGTTGGCTGAAGAGCGGTTAACTTAAGGTTTGAGGCCAAAATCATACTAAGATGTGATAATCATAAGATGTTTCTTTCAAATCAACATGATTTGTGATGATGCCTTCGCACAATAAAAGGAGGGTCACATAGAGCTGATGCATGAGTAACATATCCCACCTGATCTCGCGGATTTCTATCGACAACGTCAAGTTCTTAAAAGTACGGAGGTAACATATCGAAAACTACTAACAAAAACACTGTATGACTGACCTCAGTCGGTTATCCATTTGGCTCTGAGATCACCTTCCCGGGTCATCAAAAACATTCCTAACACAGTTTTCTTTTCAGGTCTAACAAGAAAAATTATCCCTCAACAGTGTATGCAACCTGGAGGTAGTAAACGCCTTGATATCTCTAACAGAACTCGAAATCATTTGACTGAATGTTTCGCTAGTTTGAATATATGATATAGCGAATATTTATCCCTCAAAGTACAATAATACAAGCTTAATCACATCTATGAATAATCTGATCACTTTGGAAGATATGCCAACTCGGTTGATAAGTCTTCAAAGACTATGGAGTAATTAGGACTATGTGTTACGAGCATACTTCATTAACTATCCTTTACCTCAGAAGAGCAATGTTGACAGAAGTGGAAGTACACTGGAAGAAAGCTAAAGGTAGTGATGTGAATAGACAGGTAAAGAAGCCATGACGAACAACGAAAGTCATTTTTGAGGACATTATTTCATTGAATTTAAAGTTTGTAAAATATTAACACCTAGTTTTGTTCCTGGGTTACTCCATAAACAATAAGCTTGCGTGTGATGCATGATTCACTGGCATGCTCTCTTTTGTTCCAAAGCTATTGTAATTTAAACTCTATTCTTCTACCCTAATGGTTAGTTTAAACATAATTGTATTTTTCTAATGGTTTGTGCATTGTGGTCGAGTAAGTCATCTATCTTTTTATATTAATCTAAATCAAGAATAAATCGAGTAGTGTTCCAGTTGACTGGTCTTCTCTCTAGCTTGCCAACTAATCAGGTGATGGAACAGTTTTCAACTTTCTGCCCCAAATTGTTAGTCTCGATTTGAACTTACACATTTCTAAACACAAAATCGAACCAGTTAGCCTATCGTATCAATCTACATCGAGACAAGTTCTCTTCTGTATATTATCGGGTAGATAGATCAAGGACGTAACAGGTAGAAATAAACGAAATCATAGTATCAGTACATGAAGTCATTGAATGCCTGGTTAGAATCTGTATGACTAACAGTTATTAATCTTCAGTAACATGATACAAAACCGATTGGATTAATGCAGATGCTTTCATTTCGTTATTCTGTTCCCTTTCAGGTGATATTCTCTTTTTATTTTGGCCATAATATCATCAATACTACAAATATTCCGATTCCTCTATGCATCGTTTTGTTGGATTCCATTTCACCATGCTGAACTCGTGTAGTACAACTCAGGTGGATGTAATATTTTAGGCCAGTTCCTGAGTGGACCATAAATAATTGACCTGCAGCCGATTTCAAACCACACCGTCTGAGGTTTCTCACAATACATATATATATTTAAATATATACGTAGTTAATGAAGCAACTCCTATTAATCAGTAAATGATTTTTACCAACTAATGCAAGATCTTCGCCTAATTATACTCAGCATTTGTTTAACCCATTCCCTATATATGTTAGCCTGTTAATTGACAAAGTGTTAGAACCCATTGTATCGTATTAGTACTGTTAACAGTAGAGCTGATTCAATGTAAATCAACCATTCACTACATAAATATACATATGCATAGATAAAAATTTTCTCGTCTACCTACCTGATGAACAATACAATCACAAGAATCGGAACTTTCTCGAGAACTCGATACTGATGATGCTTGTGAATTTGAATCCGGTTGTGGAATACATTCAGTTGAATTGATTATTTTCGGCGTTTCTCTAATCACTTTACTATTATGCTGATGATGATGTAGTAAATTATGATTTGTATTAATAAAATTACGATTTGGATTAGAAGAGCGTGATTGTTGATCATTGATAAGTTTTTGTCCAGTCAATGTGCAATTCTCTAATAATAGAAATTGTATTTTACATGTAATAACCAACTTTAATGATTAAAATAACGTGGGCTGATCTCAGTTAGACAATGATGAAAAATTAGTAAACATTACATATCTGTGTCAGGATTTCTCAATAATTTACATCCCTAGCCCTAACGGGGATCGAACTCGCAACCTTTATGTATCGAGGTAGGCACTGAGCTTTTAAACCACTGAACCAGCACCTATTGTTTACATGTCTAGTCTCAATGTATTCGCAAGTTTACGCAACCATTGGTGGGTAACTGCATTATTACCAACATAGCTGAACTCCAATTGTTAGAGTCTCTCACATACATGTCAATTCAATGGTCTAAAGGTTAAAAGCTCATCACGAGACTCGGAAGCCGGAACGTAGTTCGACACTAGGACGAAGTAGCTGTTCAGTGCCTCCTTGTTTGAAATTGTTATCTAACCAAACTCAATCCATAATATGAAGAGTAAATTGGGAAAAAAAACTATATACTCACCTTCATGATCGTGTGGTGATTCCTCGCCAACAAGATGACCATGTATTAAAGTCAACAATGTTATAAGAAATTCATGAGCATCCCGTTGTTCATAACCAGCTAAATGACTTGCATGTAACCAAATTGCATACAGCAGATTATTTGGTACAAATGGAGTAACAACGGGTTTATATAACTATATATTCGAGAGATAAAAAATTACTTCGATTATGTATATATATACACAAAAGAATTAAACATTTAGCAATAAATGCTTATCGTGAAGTAACACCAACCTACATTTGAAAACATACTCTGTATAACGTAAAACTTTGACTGGAGCACTCCTAGGGTTACTTTCGATCCCAAGTCCTTGTAAAGGAGGAGGATTCGGGTTGAGTTTAGCAACCACGTTTAATGAAAGAGAACTTAGCTTAAAAAAATTCTAGCCAAAAAAATCATTTTGACCATTTAAAATCTGGCCTGGGGATTTTGATATAAAAGTTATAACGCCTTATGGTGAAAGCCGAGATTTTTCGGAAATCACGAGGCCGATACTCCTGAAAACCAGAGTAACAATTGATATGAATATAAGGAATGTCTACGAAGTGTGGGGGGATCGGAAGGATCATTCACATAGAGGCAGAAATGAAAAGGTAGACTTGGAATCTTCAAGACAAAAGGAAAACAGGGGGATATCAGAAGGATGAACAGCACTTGGCAACAACTAGGAAGGGCTCATGGCGGATTTGACTGGATATCCCTGGTCAGCAACCTATGCTCCAAGATAGGTAACATGCTCAAGTCTGTATGATGCGCACCTCTACAATAACACACAGCATTGAGAACTGAAGACCTTAAGATATAAAGAGGTCAAGTCAGAAATAAGGTGATGTGGTAAGTAACTCTCAATGATGACATTCGGACGAGGATTATGATATAAAGCAAGTTGAATTTAAAAAACTGGATACTTCGAAAACCTATGAACAATAATAACTGACTCAATATGCCAAAAATTGATCTTTGTGTGTTCGACCCGAAAATGCAAAGAGTTTACAAGCAGAGATAAAACAACTATCCAGTATACCTTAGTTATCAGTGGTTTTTCTGGTTGATATCGTTCCTGATGTTGTATAGTCTCCACAAAACCACTGCAGTAAATGATATTCATAAAAATCCAGTAACTTGATCTACTCTCTGTACAAATTGAAAACATTATACCAAACAAAGTTTAAAGGACAAACAACTATGAAGTTAGAGTCTCCTTTCCTTTCTCTTTCCAGATGTCCTTATTCATAATAACTACAGGAGATGAACAGTTTTGTATTAAACGGATTTTGTCGGCTAAGCTACCATATGATCACTTGTCTGAATGAATCAACAAGGAAGTGTACAATGATATTATAAGTAAACAAGATAGATCTGATGCTTTGATGAAAGTGGATATTCCTGTTATGGATGCAGAATAATATACCAATCATTATCATGTTAAGTCTAATGATGTCCTTGGACCTTAAATGGACATTCCCTATTGGCCATTATTTATTTCATTCGTTAAATAGTGTACAAATGTTGTTTTCTATTTTTATGGTACGATGTGGTCTGTTTGGTTAGTATGTAAATAGAGTATGTCTGAAATACAATGATTCATAACTCAGAGGCTGTGACTTGCGTTCTAGACTCAACTGGCTGGGCTAGATAGGGAAGCGGGACCAATCAGGGCACTAGGTCGTTTATTCCGTTTTTTCCGTGTCACTGTTATCGATCGATATAAACTCTGCGCATCAACCCTGCAATTCACCCGTTACAACAATTCCCACCCTTTGCGCCCCATTGATTCAAACCACAGTACCAACTTGATTAACAGAATTCAATCAAGTACTAAGGATTATGCAACACGATGCTCGTGTAATATCATGAAATGGCTGAAGTTAGGAATGCAAACCACCAATTCGGCAGCCTAATGGTTAACTATTCACCCCGACACTTCGAAATCTGGTAGGGTCGTAGATGTCCTTGCTGAGAGATCCTGTACGAGTACTAAATAACTATTCAATACTTTTTGACTTTCACTGGTTGCCTAACTAAAGTCAGTCTGTGATATACAACTACTATAAAGAGAAAATGACATTTTTTACTATCAAACGTGATTTTAATTAGTGTACAAACATTTCAATTCTACATGGCAAAAGTTGTAGAGCAAATAACTCATTTTTAAATATCTATAAATGTAACGAAACCAGCGTCCTGGATTCCACCGTAAGCTACTATCCATCCGCCCCCAAATGCCCTGGTACGGTCAAGAGTGGAAAGAGTCAGCTCCCCCTTTCCAAATGCTCTCAAGTGGCCACGTGCATACAACCACTGCCTTTTCGCGGCGGGGGTGTTTTTTACGAAATTGAAAGGACGAAAAGTGAATGTCCGATGCTTTGATAGGCTTAGTGGACACGAAGAGTGCACCTAAAAAGTTGGAAAACCCTGATTCCGAATCAATGGTACATATGGGCTCCAGGATCCTAAGGAAACAAATGGCGTATGAACCAATTGTTGGTCACCGGCTTCCATGGGACTGCATCTCCTGACGTTGCCCCACTGCCTTATGGATCAGCCCCTTAAGTCGAAAGCTCCGGGTGTGGCCCCCTATGAAAATCACCTGCTTTGGTTTGGGCGTCCGGGCAGTATTCCAGTCCACACACAATTTGAGTGACGAAGCGTGACGCATATCTATTTGGTGCTTCCTTGTACCAACGTTTATGTGTTTAAATAAAATAAAATACACTATTCATCTTTGCTTAGACTGTAACGTTAAGTTTAGATTCCTTAGAGAATATTACTGGTCTAAGAATTGATGTTATACAAAAAAGTATGTTAAGCAGTGCTTCTTATCAAGCGTTCCAAATAGTCAAACAAGATATTTATTTAAACAATGAATTATATGCGTAAATATACATATACATACCTCTTGTGTAATGCGAACCATTTCGCAAGCTAAACAGTTACGTGATCGAGTTGGACTTGAACACCTATGTAAATCAGCCAATAAATAATCCCGTAAAACGGGTGTATGCGTCAACGCTTGTATGACAACATTTAAGAAACATGTATTGCCCATATTGATAAGACCACGCATAGCTACAGAAAAAGTACAGGAAAAAAAAGGCTATTTACATTGATTATTCTTTGAGTAGTGACCATTATTATGTCTATCTGATCGTTTATTGTCAACTACGTCTAACCACTTAATATCAGATAAGTTATTTATTTACTTTTTCTTGAATAAATATATTCATATTAGAGGTTATTAGTGAAGACCTGTATTTGTGATTTTAAACTATGATCTAACTTAGCTACATACTCGTTGAAAATTAAATTGAACTGAATTGTTGTTTTGTCTAAGTACGGAACTACTCAACAGTGAGTATCCAAGAGGAGAATTCCTAAAGTACTAGTGAGAAGCTAGAATTAATGGGAGTTCAATCATTTCTAGTGTGAGACAAGTATTATCGATGATGATTAGATGATACTCTGAAATTATTGAACTTGGAAATGTTAACCATCGGATAGTATGAGCTGAAGAATCTGAAAGTAACGTGCTTCCTATGAAACTAAGAAACCCTGAGTATAATTCCTCAGCGGCATCATAGGTGTGCATTCCTGAAGTGTCCCATGACAGGACAAAATAACTGTTTTAATGGTTGTCTAGGTAAAGTCAGTTCAATATTTAACCTATGAATGAATTTTAAAGAAATCATTATGAGGTACCCTACGTTCATAATTATTGTACTATAAAGGACAAAATAAGGTATACATAAATAAGCGAATTAGACAGTGTAACATATTTTTTTTAAAAAACAGAAAGTGAACTTTGTATTGGTTAACAACTTAAAACATTCAAAATGTATCATTTTTAAACTTCTCATTACTACTTATTTAGGGTCCACGTGATTATCGTAACCAATGGTTGGAGACTCCGGGTGACATGGCTCAGGATCGATCACAATTGCGTAGGTGTATAAACTCTTTGTCTTCTCTTATACTATGAGATTAAAATTACTTCATAACTTGCTTTTTACGAACTAATTCTTTCTCCCTGTATTATATTCTCAGATGCAATCTTTCTTTTATATATTACTACCATTGAATTAACTACTTCTATGAATTTGGTGTTCATCTTGTTGTGTTAATGAGGTCAGTCAGACATGCACATAAATGCATCGGCCCAAGTTACCACACCTCATTAGCACAGCAAGACGAACACCGATTCATAGAAGCAATTAACTCAGTGGTGTAATATATAAGGGAAAGGTTTTATGTCAGGATATAGTACAGAAAGAAAGATGTGAAATAATTTTAATCTCTTAGTTTAAGGGGAGACAGAGAGTGTATACACCTACGCCATTGTGATCGATTCTGAGCCATGCCATCCAGAGTCTCCAACCATTGGTTACGATAGTCACGCGGACACCAACCAAGTAGTCTGTATCTAACAGCATGGCTCATACTAGAAGTTAGTGACTTGAAACACTGATGCTACGTTTTGGTTTGGCCGCCCCTAACTTTCTTCCAACCACTCCTAACACTAGTCGGCATTGTGAGTCGTGGTAATCGGTGTTCAGGCATACGTAACACGTGGCCCAACCATCGATGATCCTACGTTGTAGGTGACTGAAATCAGGTGAGACGCTCTCTGTTTCATATCACATCCTGAAAAAAAATTAATTTAATGAGCATGATTATGGCTTCGTTACATAATTGAAGCGATCAGGATCAACTCTAGAAAACTAAACTCATATATTCAAAGAAAAAGATATATTTAATTTCTCTGTTCATAGTGACACACGATTAGGTCACTTCTAACATAAATTATATATTATAAACCTTTAAGTCCCATCTTATTTTATGTTTATCTCCGCCTTGCCCTATCACATTTTTGATTTGCACACTCGTCATTCTCAATTTACATGAATTTCTTATTAAAATTACCCCCATAAAACCTGCCTTATTACGTAATATTACTACATACGCCTGTTTATCCTCGTGGATGAACATAAGCAACCCACCAGCACTCTCCATCCAACACTGTCCGGAACAATCCTTTCCAGTTGATATTCATCCTTATCAATACCTGATTCTATTTCCCCACATAATGTGTTCTTTGGCCTTCCTCTTTTCCGCTTCCCTTCGAAATCTCAAGTTAGGGATTGCCTCGTGATGCAGTTTCATGATTTCCGTAATCTATGTTTTATCCATTTTCATTGTCTCTTCCTCATTTCCTCTTCAGCTAGAAACTGGTTTGTTCTCTCCCACAGAAGACTGTTGCTGATGGTATTCGAACAATCGATGTTGAGTATCTCGCGTAGACAGCTATTTATAAATACTTGTACCTTCTTAATGGTGGTTGTTGTAGTTCTCCATGTTTCAGCTCCGTACAGTAGAACTATCTTGAGGTTCGTATTGAAGATTCTCATTTTGATATTGATTGACAGTTGTTTTGAGTTCCATATGTTCTTCAATTGCAGTAATGCGGCCCTTGTTTTGCCGATCCTCGCCTTTACGCCTGTATCTGACCCTCCTTGTTCATCGATGATGTTTCCCAGGTATGCGAAGGATTCCACATCTTCTAGAGTTTCGCCATCAAGTGCAATTGGGTTGGTGTTCTCGGTGTTGTTTTTGATGATCTTGCTTTTCCCTTTGTGTATGTTGAGGCCTACTGCTGCAGAGGCTACTACTACACTAGTTATTTCAGTGAGCCTGGCATAAAATCTCTCCTAGTATACATTTTATCCTCATGATTTATTGATTGTAACATAATGCTTAACAACGAACTTTCCATCTTTTATAAATGGCTTCATACACTGACAAATGACACATTTTAAATCTAGTTGAACAGTAATTGTCGATGTCAAAATTCACCAGTCTAATAACATTAACTATTGGATTGAGTCATGTAAGTACATAATGGTTAAATTGGTTGAAATTCGGATGATTATTGTGGCCAATAGTTAGAGACTTTGAATCCTTTGGAATGGCTCAGATTCATTCACATTTTGTATTCTTTTAGATTTTAAGTTGCTAATTCCTCAAAAGCTTTTTTTATGATTCACTCATTTACATTTTCGTCTCAAGTCGTATCTTTGATGTTTAACCGCTTTTATTACCACTAATACTGTTAATACTATCTCTAATACTCTGATATTTGTCTAGATAATTTCATCTTGATGCACTTATCGGGTATGGTAACTTGTACCGATGTACATAATTGTCAAAACCTACATTGTGTTTGACTGACTAACTAGTCGACTAGTCTAACATAACATTGTCTAATTTTTCTATTCACGTATGCCTTATTTTGGTCTTGTAATAAAACAGCTACAAATTTATAACTGCAGAGTCACTGATAATGATGACGATGATGAAGTTACTTAAAACAATTGTTCACTCAAATGTTCTTTAATTTAGGATACAAATGGTGAAATGTGGAACACGAATTGAAATTAGCTTCATCGTAACTTAGTAATCAAGACAACTAACTCTGACACTAAGGACTAAGCAACCAGGACATGTTAATAACAACAAATAACTAATCAACCTAATAGAATGAGAATCTTCACAAATTCTGTGCACAAAAAATTGCAGGCCAAAATAAAACATTAAGTAGACAAACCTCCAGAACAGCCATTTACAGTTAAGGGTAATACTGGAGTGATATGAGGTATGAGGCGTAATTCATTAAACGATGGTCTCCAATAACGATTGGATAAACCTGAAAAATTAATCATAAGAGTAATGAGAATATTAAATACTACTGAAGTTACTGATAAGAATATAACTCAATTCTAACGAAACCTCTAAAGCAAGTTTGAAAGAAAAAATGAGATAAAAGCTGATACAATGTACTGTTTTTTGACTCCTATACAGAAGTTTAAAACATTCTAGTTGAGAACGAATATAGCAATGTCATAAGACTATGCGGCCCCCAAATGCCCTGGTATGGCCGAGAGTGGAAAGAGTCCGCTCTCCCTCTCCAAATGCTCGCACATGGTCACGCGTACATAGCCCTTGCCGGGGAAGTCCTACTCACTGTCTTCTCGTACCACGGGTGTTGTTGTTTACGAAATTGAGAGGACGAAAAGCGAATGTCCGGCGCTCTAACCGGATTCCAAATCAATGGTGCATATGGGCTCCAGTATCCTGCGGGAACAAATGGCGTATGAACCAATTGTTGGTCACCGGCTTCTATGGGACTGTATCTCCTTATGATGCTCCACTGCCTTGTGGATCAAACCTTCCGGTCGAAGGCTCGGGGAGTGCCCCCCTAAGATAACCACCTGCTTCGGTGTGGGCACCCGGGTAGTATATCAGCCCTCACACAAATCTAATGAAATTTGTGTGGCGCATATGTATTTGGTGCCTCTTTGTACCAATATCTATGTGTTAAAATAATAATAATAATAAATCCTAGTGTGCAATTTCAACATTTTATCTGATCATACTGATCCTTCCCTTTCGAATCATAACTTCTTTATTTTGAATATTCAAAATCTCAACAGCTTTATTACCAGTTCGCTTTATAAAAATAACAATTTCATGTCTTTTTTGTTCATATGTTTTTTTATTTGAAAACATAAATATTGGTACAAAGGGGCACCGAATACAAATGCGCCAAACAAATCACTTAATTTATGTGTGGACTGTGATACTGCTCGGGTGCTTAGACCAAGGCAGTTGGTTTTCTTAGGGGGCCACACCCGGAACCTTCGACCTAAAAGTCTGATCCACAAGGCAGTGGAGCAAAATTTTATTATCACTATTATTGTCATTGTTATCGTCTGGAAAAATAAGTGTACATTTGTGATTGTACCGCTTTAAAAATGAATACGCCGAAGAGAGGATTCTGCGCTGAACGAATTTTACTTATTTGATTTTGTTCATGTAGGTCTAAATTATCCATGAATACTGTTACTGCTAGGCAGAATGACTCTGGATATAATCTAACGTGTGAGACTGACCTTATAAGAAAAATATAGCTAATTAACGGATATATTCGTAGAAAATAACTAGTCAAATTTCAAGTGTTTTAATCCTCTGAATAGGTTTCAGCGAATCAAATAACATGATGCTCTTGACATAAGAGATGACTTTTTCTCTTAATAAAAAAAATATGACTAGTGAATTCTTCTAACATTACTAAATTGTTCTTGTCGTAAAAACTAAAAAACGACAACAGCTAATACAAGCATTACTACTACTTATCCACCTAGAAAATTGAACAGTGACATAGTTCAAATTGTTTTTAACAGAGTAAAAATATGTCAATCCACACTCAACATTGAACCCGATACAAGTGAATTGGTTCAATTTCTCAAACCAAATTACCACAATGAGATAAAATTATTTCAAGACAGATACTAGAGTACGAGAAATAACAGTGTCACCAGTAGAACAGAGTATGTATGGAAATCAAAAAGGATATAAGATTTCAGGACTCAGATCCTAGAAAAAGACAAAGGAGGGGAAGCACCTGTGTCATTGCGAACGATTTTGAGTCATGTCACCTAAAGTGTCTAACCATTGGTTACGATAATCAAACGGACCTCAATCAGAGTAAACATACGATCTTTATTTGTTGGTTTAACGGATAATCAAAATATAGTTTCCATTTCAGGCCCCAAAATGCCCTGGTACGGCCGAGAGTGGGGAGAGTCAGCTCCCACTCTCCAAATGCTCTCACATGGCCACGTGAATACAACTACTGACACAAAAGTCATACTCACTGCCTTCTCGCGGCATAACTGTTGTTTACGAAGTCGAGAGGGCGAAAAGCGAATATCCGACGCTTTAACCGGGTTCGTGAACACGGAGGGTTTACCTAGGGGAGTTAGACAACGCTCATTCCAAACCAATGGTGCACATAGGCTGGCTCCAGGATCTTAAAGGAACAAATGGTGTATGAACCAATCGTTGGTCACCAGCTACCATGGGATTACATCTCCTCACGATGCTCCACTGCCATGTGGATCAGACGTTTAGGTCAAAGGCTCCGGGTGTGGCCCCCTATGAAAACCACCTGCTTCGGTTTGGGCACCCGGGCAGTATCCCAGCCCTCACAAAAATCGAATGACTTATGTGGCGCATATCTATTTGATGCCTTCTTGCACTTATGTTTATATGTTAAAATAAATAAAACAAAATATCATGGTAATATTTAGTGAAGAATGAGACTCACCAAATTGAGCTAAATAAGTGCGACATGCAGACTGATGAAAACTTTCAGCCACAGAATGGTAAACAAAATCACCACAACCAGTACAAAATAATTCACCACGTTCTGTACAAACAGCTTTATGAATATAACAAAAAAGGATCTGAGTGATTAGTTTTCCATGAACAATAAACAAACATACAGAGAGTGTGTGAGTGATTAAAATCAAATGTAGTTCTATAATTATTTTGCTAAGCAAAAAATAGTTCATTTTAATTCGTTTAATAATCATTCCTCGCTAGAAATCTTTAACTATAAGTTAACAAACGATCATTTAAATAAGTCAAAACACTTATCATTTATAGAATTGGACGTAGGGGGGTATTAGGTTTATGAATTTTCGGTAATCCATATAAATTAGGATATGCCGAACCCATAGGATGAGTTTAATTTATTAAAACCTATGGGTTCGGCATATTCTAATTTATATGGATTACCGAAAATTCATAAGACTAATAACCCCTTAGTCCAACTTTATCAATGTGTCGGTCGCCTACACACAACCTTGCAAAATGACTTATCATTTAGTCGATTCTTAGCCGAAGTATGATTCTGCTATATGACATTATACAACATCATAAAGCCTGTATTTTTGGAAAAATCTCATGTAATATAATAAAAAAGCTTCGGATTACAGAGTAATGAACAGTTTTCAACAAATAATCCAATCTGAATTTTTCATAATTACTCATGATAACTAATAAAAATTACAGTTAACAACAATTACACATAAAACACGATAGACTTACAAAGATAATGATCAGGATGGTCTTCTCTGTGTAAATATATATGACGATAATCCCAACAAGCGAAATGAATACAATGAGCACATGCGAGCAAACATCTAGGTCTTATCAAATCTTTATTGCAAACGTCAAAATCTTCACCTCGTGTTTTGCATAAAGTGCAATATAATGAAGCCTGATTAATAACAAAAAATGATGATAATTTCTGTAGTATTTTAAAAGTTTTTTGACTGCTACTTAATATATAATTTAAGTAACTGGAACTGAAATGTTTAGATCTTTGTCGAATTATTTAGGAACTCCAAACACAATATGTGTATATCGTTTACAAGTTACAGAAGGATGTTTGTGACGTTTAAATAAGTTTTTTGAAAGAAATATTACACACAAATATATGCTTGTTTGGAAATCAAAGATTGACAAACATATGTGCCCTCTAGAAAAACTAGAAATCTTTAAATATAATGTACAACTAAGATATTGCGTAAAAGTTTGAACTCAAAAGATAAATTTTAGCATGGAAGTAAATTATAAATCAACAGTCTTCTCTGAATTTATATTTTAGTATATTTCAATTAATTGGAGAACCAATTAATTGTCATGGTATTTGTAACATATATATAACTCTCATCATTAAGAACCGATGAGCATGAACTCACGGATATTCACCTTGCACTAGTTTCACATCTATATATTAAACCAGATAGATTAAATAGTACTGTTCGAGACTGACTTAATAGTTGCATGATAGTTTATGGCCTTATTCTTAGAGAAAGTTATGAACCATCAAATTCCATTTATAGATATCAAAGACCTAAAGATCATCCAACCTAGTGGCTTGAGACGTGACTAAGAATATAATTTAGCGGTGGTAGTGTTTTAGCTCTCTATTATATGCATCATAAATGGCAAAACATAGTTGAAAGAAATTTGTGTTGTATGTAAATTGACTGGATTGTATTTTTAGTGGCCTATTGCACTAATTCTCTAACAACCAAAATGGTAAATAAGAATGGGTAGGATAGTAGTGAAAACAATCAACAGTTATACCTATAAACTTTTATTTGCATAAAGCCGTGAAGACTCCTTAAAACCGAATTAACTTATATGTAACAACTGAGTAAATCTAGCTAAAAGTTAATGACATGTTAGGCAGACTAAGTTATTTGACAAGTTGTTTACATTAACACATATTTAACACATTTCAAAACCAAGATACTACTATTACAGAAAGTGTACATCACTGTAAAACATGGTATTTACCAGGACTTACAAAATAAAACTTTGTATCTTATAACGCATCTGCAAGTCAGAAAACCAGTTCGTTCCTAAATAGCCTCAATGAGTACCAATCTTTGTAGTTTGGTAACGAAAGTCTAAGTCAAACGACTACGATTTTATGTTACCTAGTAGCTTCAATTAAAAAATATTCGAACATAAAGGTAGGGAATCACACAATCAATAAATTCTCTAGAGTGAACCTAGGATGCGATTCTCTAGTGTGATGACTAACTGAAAGTATCTCAAACAAACAGTACATAATTCGTAGCCTATGTAACGACGGAAAAACAATATGCTAGATGAATGACCTGTAAAATCTCTAAATTTCCCGAAAGACAATCCGCGTTTCAGTGGACATACCTTATGAGTGAATTCACGCTTGGACTTTGGGAAAGCAAGATGGTTAATTATATTTTTGTATGCAGTTTCATTTGTCTTCTGTGTGAAGAATTGGTTCGCATGTTTGCAAGACATTTCAGGCATATTTGACCTTAATGTCTATATTTTACCCTGGTCACTAACTAGACCATAATTAAGTTTTTTGATTGATTTCATATCAGTGAAAATATGGATGGAAAAAAACCTAAGATACTGAAAACCCGAAATGTTTATAATTAGCGCCTGAGAGCGTGTAAGCTAAGACCGGTTTCATTGGTTGGTCCGGTAGGGACCAAAATCTTTAGTGTTGAATGTCTTATTGACTAGCTAACATCGTTCAATTTTTTCTTTATGGTCCAGTCTTCATATGAAGGAATAACTGGTACTTTACAGAAATCAATGGGATTCAAATGGTTCAAATTGTTGTGGACGGAATAGAAGGAGCTTTCGCTTAATAGGCTTTCGTGTCTAGTAGCAGTGGATCACCAATACCTGCAGGCAGGAACCTAGGTATATTAACCATAATATAGGAAAAAGAAATTAGTAAATCATAATAATAAATTATCCTCAGGCCTTGAGAATATGCCAAGTTGTCGCTTAAAGAACTCCTGGGAAGTCGCTTGGACTAACGCAGTCGGCAGCGAATTCCAGCATTTGACAACTCTTAAGGAGTAGAAGTTGTGTTTACAGTCCTTTCTGCTGTTTTGTGTCCCTGGTTTTTGGGTGTTACCCCCAAGGTTTGTGCTGGAGCTAAACTTAACTAGGTGTTTAGGGGAATGTCCAGAAGTGTCAAGGATGCTGTGAGCCATTAGAAGGTCGCCTCTAAGACACCTTTACTCCAATGAGTAAATGTTTAGTGATTAGAGGCGCTCCTCATAAAGCTTGAATTTGAGTCTCTGAGCTGATTTCGTGGTTCACCGTTGAATACGCTCCAGAGTGTCCCTATCTTTTTGGAGTGAGGAAGGAAATACTATATTTTCGTACTCTAAATGGAGACGAATAAAACTGTTGAAGATTAGGTGTAAAGTTCTTCCGTCAAACTGGCCAAAAGTGCGCTTCAGTGTTATCAGTGCAAGGTTTGCTCAAAAGGCATTTCTGTCACAGCGTAAGACTTTGTAGCGGTAAATAAATCCCCAAAATAAATAGCTCTGTAAGTTTTCGACATTGGATGCTCACCACATGTTTTAATGAACTCACCTAGCTGAAGGCGCTCAGTCATGTATCCGCACCAGATCACGTGTGGGAACGCCGTGCTCAACATCTACTGCAATCGCTAGCCAGATTAGATCAGACGATTCTCGATATATTGATATCACATCAAATATATCTTCCGATCTTCTCCATTCTGTCTTTTGGTTTCTCTTGGTGGGTACGCTTCATGTTAGAAGGTGTTACTAGTTAAAGCGTTGTCAAACACTGAATACCTGTGCCATCTTCATTGGTTAGCCTAACGTGATCTGGTACACCAAATCGTAAAATGTTAGTCTGTTCCATTCTGGGATTCTATATATTATTGCTTCATCTTAATTTTTTATACATTGTGATCCTTTTTTCGTGCTTTTTGGATACATATTTTTTTCACTCGTTCATTATCGTACTTCATATTTCATCATGACTGAACTGACACCCAAAGTATTTAAACTTAAGACTTTGTCCCCACCTTCGTTGCAACTGATGCCCTCCTGGCCAGACAACATCGAAGACTAGTTTTGCTTTGCAGAAGCCGACTTCTCCGAGCACGGCGTGAACGACACACGTGCGCAATTCCTCGCAGTAGTCAAGGCACTATCACGTCAATTCAACAGGTGCGTAACACCTAGTATGTTAACTAGTGATGTTTCTGAACCTTACGAAACGCTGAAACGTTCTGTTCTTAAACTCGGAGATCTAACTGATAGACAAAGGTTAGACCAACTCCTCAATAACATCGACCTGCAATACGGTTCTGCAACGGGCATGGTGCGACGAATGAGAGAGGTTATAGGCCAAAGAACTTTCGATGATGGCCAATTTAAACAACGTTTCTTAGCGAAACTTCCTTAACAACTTCAAATATCAGGGTACCAGCACTTGTAAATCTCTTTTAACTTGGGATACTTCTAGAGAAGAGTTTCTTAAGTTGTAACTGTAGTCCGCAACATGTCGCAGATGGACTACTTAACACTTTGAAGTGTTAAAGGTAAGTCCGTTGTCGTCTGTCCAACTTTGAATTCGAGTCAGATCCTCCTGAAGTGCCTGTATATCGTCTTGGTTGCGTATCTCTTTCCAAAGTTCCACGTCATCAGCAAAAAATAATAAGTCCGACGATACCTGTTGTGAAAGATCATTTTTTTAATCAAGAAGAGAAGAGGTCCTAGTACTGAGTCTTGGAGGACCACACTAGGACATTCCATAGCCTGAGATAAAGTGAAATTAACCCTGACCTCAAAATGTCGATTTTTCAGATATGAAATGAGCCAGTCAACTAGAGGTGGTCTGATACCTAATCGTCTGAGCTTATTGGTAAGGCATATATGGTTACCCCTATCAAAAACTTTTGAGAAATTCAGGCAAATGACGTCAACTTACTCTTTGTGATCAAGGATACTTGTCCACCTGTCCACTGCAGTCAGCAGGTTGGTTATACAAGAATGACACTTCCTGGAACCATTCTGTTGAGGTGAAAATGGGTTTGGTGATAATAAATAGTCGTGTGCACGTCACATATCAGGGACACCATAATTTTTGACGGTATCTAGAGAAGGGCCACCGGTTAGTAGCTTGAAGGTTCTTTGCATCGACCTCCTTTGAAAATTGGTGTGATGTGAGCCAGCTTCTAAATTTCCGGTAGTTTGCCTCGGCTTAGCGAGTATGAGAACATCACGCTAAGCGATTAATCTAGATACATGACATCAACAAACACAGTGAATTCAATAAATAGTTGGCCATTGCATTATCCCAAATCTTGGTGTTGAGTTTGCATAAACTGATTGATTTCCTTGATCTCACTTATCGCCTGTTCGTTAAAGTTATATATCTGCGGTGGTGTTCAGTGAGAAGTAGTCTAACCATTTGACTGCACTAGTTCTAACCTTTTTTTGTAGTTACTTATGGGATCATGTTATCTGAGTGAATTAATTTGTCCCAGAGTAACCGGTATTCTCGAGCCAGTAGCTGTTGCATTACCAGGTAGGAGGACGGGGTTGTTGAAATGTGAAAAATAATACGAGGACTATCCGAATGCAGAAAAGCTGAGAGAAGACTGCTGTCTGAAGAAGTAAACAAATAAATAAGTTAATTAGTTAGCGACATGGATAGTGTGGGTCAGTAGAAGTGTAAGGACAAGAGGAAAATATAGATTGCGAGAAGCTTAATAGAAAAAATTAGTGATGATCACCGCAACCTCTGTATCGTGCACATCAGCTTGGCCGAAATGCCATACTCCAGCTTAGGACTCTTGTGTACTGCCATACTGGTTGGTTCTCCGTGGCCTGTTGAGTGTTTCCTCACGATCTGTTTCACAGGCCACAATTTGTCGTGTTCAACTCTGGTTCTTGATGACCGTTTTAACGTCGATATCTGAGACATCATGATAGTTTTCTGTGCCATACTTGTGTAATGCACAGTCACTCTTAGTGCGTAAGGTTTGTTTTTTATCCTAGTTTAGTTTCTTCATAAGCGACACAGTTTGAGTTGAATAGTAACCATGTCGAGCACGAGACAGCATTATCCCACTGCTGTTTATCAAAAGCTGAACTGCTCTCCTGTAGAATACCCTCTGACGCTGAAAGATCAAAGAGAATTATCAAGTTTTGAACGGCATCAATTTCACAAGTTTTAATGCAATAGGAACTACGTCGTTCATATCTCCTCTTCTGGCAGTCACCTACTGTTAATTCCTACTATCATTAAGTATGGTGTATAGAGTGAACTTGAAGTGTGTACTGATGTTTATCTGAGTTATCTCTCTCGTGACCACTTCTTTTCCTATGTCTGCCCTGGCTGTACTGATAGAAAGGGTACGATTTTTTCAGTTTAAATGTAGCTTTACGTTGAAACTTCATGAGTGAGGTTGACGCATTCTTTTCAGGTTTGTATACAATAACCACGAGACTGGTTGACCTAACATGAACATGTGGTACTGCCTGGGCGCCTCAGTGTTACAGCCACAGAAGTCCACCCATCAAACAACTCAATTCGAATTCTGATTTCTCATTCTAACCAGTAACGTACACGCGATATAATTGTCACCTTTGTATCCTCCTCCAGCCTACAGCGTTTGCAAGTACCTTGTTTTGTTGTGCTTTTTTCTTCTATTTTCCTTGCTTTTACAGAAACGGGACTCTGTCAGGGTGTAGCCCTCGGTTCCTGCACAGAAGATTTTTATGAATGTGTTTTGTAGACAGAACTGTATACGTTGCTCTGGGATGCCTTAGTTTTATTTTAGGGCTTTTGAAGGCATCTAGCTAAATAAGGGGACTTTTACTTACTATCATCTCCTGCAATAAAGTCTGGACTTGCTATCCTTGCAACTATGGTGTAGGTAGTGATGGGAACTTTATTATTGTGAGTGCCAGTCGACAAACGAAAAAAACAAATATGGTTTGGTTTAAAAAGAATGATTATAAATTAAGCTGTCGCGGAGATGCCAATGGTTAGTTTGATTGCATTCTTAAATTCACCGATTAGTTGCGCGCGTTTTTGTCGTCAGTTAGATTTGCTTTTGCGTATTTATCACGTCAGGAGCATACTTGATACACTTTAACTTGAATTATTCCAATTAAGGTTTGGGTTTTTCTCCAAGTCCTTTTTGGTACTCCTTTTCACTCGGTTCACACGCTAGTGATTGTGTTTTGCACTTCTGTCGACGTTCCCTACTTAATTATTTTCGAAATAATAGCCTTTAGTTATAAATGTGGGCAGTTCAGTTGTTCCTTCCCTGTAGAGGAAGGAGTGCAATGTGATGATGTAAAATGTGGTTCCACAAGATGTGTAACTTTTTAAACACCACCGCATACGAAGGATGCTCGATGTCTATCTTCCATTGGATTTGCATGTTTTGCTGGTCGAGTTGTGGCATTCATCCATTCATTCTCGTTGTTCGTGTTTGATTAGCTTAACTCGCT